TTTCGTCCCTTCGAACGGACCAACACTAGCATAGTCACTGCATAAGACACGTTGATTCATGAACGGCTCTTTTACTGCATATGACAACACCAACGACGACTGGCTGACACCAGTTGATGAACTTAGCGGTGTATCAGAAGCTGTTGTTGTTAGACCTTTAGGAGGTTGTCTAACCACAGGATTACCACCACTGCTATCTTTTATTATTGGCTCCAGTTCAGTTTTAACATCTGTCGATAGTTGGGCTACACTCGGATCACTTAAACTGACGGCCTCACGAGTATCCATAACTGCAGCAACCGCATCTGCCTTTAATTCTACTTTACGTTCAAGTTGTACAGAACCTTTAGTCAACTCAGTAGTAGAAGGCATTCCGCTAATCTCATCATGATCAGCCACAGATAAATGTGAACTACCGTGACCATTGTCACAAATACCCACTTTACCGCCGTCTGTATGATCGATTTCATCATTTTCACACTCTTTAATAACAGCCGTAGATGACTCCGGTTCTTCCTCATGAATCCTTAAAGGTTTTATTCCTTTACTCTGTCTAGTAATACCTTGTAAACTTGTGGAGTCAGAACTGGACATTGAAAATGTAACCCTCTTCTTATGCACAAACTGCGGTGTCGTCTGAGACACTCTTTTCAACAATGGATTATCAGTTACGACTACAGGCTTCTTCACCGCACCATTATCGTCACACGATTCGGAGTCAGAACACGATGACGTTGACTTCACATTTAGCTTGCCACAAAACTTGCTCGTTGCTTCACAGTTCGCCTTTGCATGCACTTCTTGCAAACGGACGAAGCACAGCCGTGTTTGTCTCGCAGCTTGTAACTTATCCGTTGGGGACGTCTCGCTAAAGCTGCCACAATCATTAGGTTTACTAGACACCATACAGCTTTCTCGATATCCACTACACTGAGACCCCTTCGTCATAAATGATTGCATTCTACTCTCCAATTTCTCTATTCCAGGGGAGGGATGCAGTATACTAGCAAACTTGCTCAAAGCTTGGTTGACACTGTCTTTCACCAGGCTCACAATGTCATCCAACCTGGGCTCTAAACCTTCCTCCTCTAGACGTGAACAAACCTTTATAAACTTCCTTTGTAGACGAACAGGTAATCTCTTGGCAACAGTTTCAAGCACGGAACTTGAGTTCAATTCATCTACGCAGTTAAAAGACATGAGTGTATTTCTATATACCATCAAATTATCCAAGAACTCTGCAAGTTCCTCTGGGTTATCGTTTAACTGTGATCCGTTACCTTTCACTGTCTCGAAAATACTACGGGATATCATAAACGGTTTTCCAAACCTTTGACGTAGTATCTTCATTGCCTCGGTATATCCTTCGTTCGGGGGCATAAACTTGCAGCACTGTATGGCTCTTGCAGCTACACCAGTGCAATATCTCAACAAATACATTAACTTCATTTCATCATTTAATACAAAACCACTCAGCATGACCTCAAACTCTTTGATGAACTGTGGGTAGTCAGCTGGGTTTCCATCGAAGTATCGCGGTTCAAACTTAGGCAATCTTAAACCCTTACTAGCCCTTAACGGTGAAGCGTGAACATCAAACTTAACATGCTGAGCATCACACATATCATTACAATTAACAGGCAACTCAACGTTACTTACTTTCTTGTCTGCTTCCATGGTGCCACATCCCTTTCTTGACCCAGGCATTATCCAACGTCACCAAAGAATCCAAATTGCGTTGATAATTCTTGTCCAAAGAGAAGCTGGCTGCAGATCTAGTAAGTACACCCGGTTTCCAGAAGGCGCCCACGAAGACTTAGAGAAGAATAAAAACTGGCAAGGAACTTAGGGCTGAAATTATCCCGCATGCTCAAGGTCATTGATGGAGTGAGACGCTCAAAGGTCATTTTCGTCCATGTTAGTGGGTTATGTTGGATTGCAGTTCCATAGCCGTTCGTTTACACATTGGTTTTACGTTCTGTTGGCATTTATAGGTGATTCCCATGTACTGATAGCATTCTTTTGTAAAATAGTACTGTTCTTCCCACGAAAATAGCCACATTTTGACGTATTCTTCATTGAATGACACTATGTCGAAAGCTGCAGCTTCTACAAGAAATAAACTATTTGTGTAGATGACATTACCCACCAACTACCCCATCTTCTTCATTGTAGAGATGTTTTGACGCATTCAGCATGAAACACTAATCATTACAACCAATATGCTAAATGTGTCGCAGTCAGATTAAATGACGCAGACACCAACATAACTAGCCAGGAAATGAGAATTCCTATCAATCCAGAAAACATACAACAAAATTTTATTAAAAACTATTGACGAAACAAATTTGCCGAGCGAAATTTCAACCAACATGCCGGATAAGTCCAGCCGGAACTTAGCCCTAAGTTCCTATTGTAATGAAGACTTAAGCGATTGAACCGATAAACACTATGTATTTCCTTCAACTTTAAATCCAAAACACCAGTATTCCTTGAACGAAATTATATTGTTTGGCAATTAAAGTGAAGAAAACTACAAAGTTTTTATTCGTATTTAAATCCAGTCTTCCTTCAACTTGCAAGCGATTGTTCCATTTGCGCCTTCAATTGCCCGTCAATGGTTGCCAGCTCCAATAAAACAAACGTTCAATGTTCACTTCCATTGACAGTAGCCCTGGAAAAACTAAGGAGGAACAATAGAGAATAATAGGTAGAATGCGAAAGTTAACGGGTTGTAGGAGAAAGGGATGGGTTACACCAGAATTTCTTAACTTCTTGATTTAGGGGGAAGACAGAATATTTTCCTAGTAATCACCAAGATATGAGACGACCAGGAAAGATCAGCAGATAGAATGGCGCCTAGGTATTTAATTTCCGACTTGGTTTCTATTTCAGTGCGCGAGAAAACGCATTTTAATCGCTAGAGTCACTCAGTAGGTGGTCGGTGACTGGAGACCGGGAGAAGACGAGACGACTAGCCGAGTAGGCACTATGCCTTTCCATTGATTTATGAGGTTCCCCCTCCTTATTGGATGCCACTGAATAAATGACGGCCCTCCTTGTGTTTGACTAGACTCCTCTGCTTCACTTGCCTACCATCATGCTTACGAAACACACCTTCATAAACAACCGCTATCTTCCCATTTTATACACCCCACTCCACATAAATGTCTTCTCAAACGAGATGATTTGGTTGGTAAACATTCACGCTTCTATCTTGATCTGAAAATAATAATAATAATGGCTTTATTCCAAACAGTATTTGTGGTACAGGTATGGAATTTTCAGCGTTCATTACAATATTGCATCTAATTGCCTCATAAATTTTATAAGGATTTAGAAATATAGATCAACAACAACAAAAAGAAAAAGAGAAATAAAAGAAAAAGAAGAACAGCATTGCATTCACATATTTAAACAATGCACCACAGGATATGATATATGAAATTAGTCTGTAATAGAATATATGAGCAACAATATGATAGTAACAAAGAAAGGAGAACAAAAGCTAATGGGAACTATTTGTTAGAGTGCCGCAGTAAATTGATCATGTCATGCCTAACAGTTTTCTCATCACATAACAGCTGTGCCAGATAAGGTATTGTGGAGTTTTTATACTTGGTAGTCCTGGAGAGATAGAGACATGGCTGTATCCTATTGTCTCCTGACAATGAGGTCGGCATAACTGATGCGTGGGTGTTCAGGAGGGACAGGGATGATAACGAAGGAGGCGTGGTCGTCATATACTTCAGCAAACTATTACAACTTACACAATGCAATGGATCCACGCACATAAGACTGCCAGACTCCACTCTGTATCATGTCATAATCGGATAAGTCAAGTGTCTATTGTGCGCCATCCAACAGCCACCTCCATCCAGCAACTCTTTTAACGCCACATCAATACCTTCAAACTAAGGGCGAGGAATGCTCAAGGCACTCTAAGGCGAAATCCACTACACACAATCAGAGGGATTCGGATGGTTGAGAAGGTAGGAGACAAGAGTTGGTGGGCACCAGTGGAAAGTCGTGAAAACTGGATTATTTGCTGATGTCTTCGTGGGGTTGAATGATGAGTGACGAGATGAGTGATGGTTCCCCGTAGTAAATCATTCTACGAAATACCACGAGTGACCAGAATCACTCAAACAGAGGTATCTTGTCATTCAGTCATTACTGGGCTTTCTCGAACCAGCCCACGGTGGATAGAGCATCAGATGCTGAAGATTCGAGTGCGCTTCAATTTCAGTTTTCTCCTAGGTCATCGTACGTGTGGCTATGGTCAATGCGGCGTTCGTGGGAGGCTTTAAGCGGAGGTTGAATAATCACCTGGTGAGATAATAACTGCATCCGAATGGTCTATCCCCTAATACTCACATACCGTATTGATAGTGGGTGCACTTCTCAACTCTGGTGGCCACCCCACCTGTTTACTCACTTATTCTCTTGTTATTTCACAGTCGTTTCTCTGCGTTTATTCTGAATTAATAAATTCCATTAGCTATCCGTTTGTGCATTTTCTGTTGAAAGTCTACATAGCCTACACTGATTATATCTACTGTTGCTCCTATTATTTTTATATCAATTTCTGATCACCCCGGACGACCACAGGGGGGAAACGATCAACGCGCTTCCTGGCAGTAACATGGTCTCAACACATCGCATAATGCAAACTACACATAACCAATGCCCTCACCATTCACTTTGGAGTCAACCAAAGCTACGACAGTCGAGTGATGGGACAGACTAAGCACAGGTCTACCAAAGATCAAGATATTTTGCTACCTAGCGAAGAAGTGGGGACAATGAAGTCAAATTGGATTACACTAGCTCTTCAAAGCGATATTGGATATTGGTAGCTTGTTTAGTCAGATCATCGGGCGCCGAATCACGTCGAACTGGTGTAGTGCGGTGACTACTGTTCCTGTTGGTTTTGGTGTTACCATTGCCACTACTACTGCTACTTCTACTGCTTGTGCTACTCATACGTACTTGGCAGGATGTCGGGCAGGTTAGCTTGTGTGTCTTTCATTTGATTGTTGCGAGAATGTCTGTGTGAGTATGGGATTTGACGGTGTTCGTGGTTCTGCATGCTGTCGAGTAATTGTCAACCCTGCCTACCCTTAATGGCTATTTGATGGGTTAAAGGACCTTGTTTACAGTGAATGTCGTCTTGAAAATGAATGCATGTTGTCATTGATGCAAGAGGTGTGTGTTGCCTGATGTAGAGATGACGCCTGAGTGCCATACTGCGACTGTCGTCAGCAGATAACATGTCTGGTGTAATAGTGAGGATTACTGTTGTTGTTGTTGTTGTGTGTGTGTGTCTGTGTGTGAAAGAAAGAAGGTAGATATACTGGCGTTAACGGCAGGGAGTTATTTCCCAGTAATGTGAGGCTGTTAGAGAAGATAGTTGGTGAAGTGAGCTTACTTCGCGGTAGATTTGCGTGTTAAGGTTGTTGCTGAGTGTAAATTATGTTGTATGCCTGATTGTTTATGGCAGTCGTTGACGCACTAGGTTATTCTGTTGTGTTTTGTAGAGGCTTTTACGGACCACCTCGTGGACGTGGAGGATATGATGGTCGTGGAGGTCCTCGCGGACCGGATGGACGTCGTGGGTGTGGGTGAGTCTTGATTTCTTATTATGACTTTCCACGATTGTGAGATTCCATGATATTGTGATGCATATTTTAGTTTCTGAATAGACGATTTGGTGAAAAGCTGAGGTGCAGGATATCATTTTTGGCTAAGACATCACTCATATGACTTTGCACTGTGTTTCCAGAAGCATTAGAGGTAAGAAAAGCTACCTAGTGAGTCATGACTATTGATGTCATCTGAGTTTCGGTGAGACAAGTTTGATGCAGTAGAGTGAAGCTTGACAAATGGGTGGAGTAGTTTGTTTCTACAGCGGAAAGTTGATGCATTAGATAAGAATAGGTGAAACTGAGGGCTAGCTAGTTGTTGTCACTTCGACACCTGACTTCATGTTAATTTGTCTCACATTGAGTGATGTTTAACTGATGAGTTTTGATTTTCAAATTCAGCTTCGATGAAGGAGAGCTGTACGGGTGAGTTGGCGTAACGAGTTTTTGTCTGTTGTGCTGTGATACATGTTGTGTAGTCTGTCCTTATCGTGCATGTTACTTTGCGAAACATTTGTTCTCGTGTTGTTTTAGTCCGCCCCCGAGTTGTCAAGGTGGAAGAGGTCGTGGTGGACCACGAGGTCAAAGAGGATATGGGTAAGTTGGCAGGTTTTTCCCTCACGTAGTTTTTGGTCTGTTTTTGGAGTACGTTGGATGCGTATGATTCATTAGGAAGAAAGTGGCCGATTGAGAGGGTACTGACTCGCTTGTGCTTGTGTAATGGTGGATATGTGCTGTGTTGTGTGCACCTGTCACTAGACGTGAGTGATTGCAATCCAGTGTGTTGTAGAAACCAATGTGGATTCTCCGGAAGTGGTTTTCTCTACATAGAGATTAGAAGCTTTTCGGATCTAGTGTAGTGAAGTTTGTACCTAGTTAATAGCCTGATGTGGATGATTCGGTTTCCTGTTCGGTGAGAGATGTGTTACTTTATTGTGATTGTATGTTCATGGGGTTACTTGGATTTCCCGAACGTGAAGCGCACGAATAATCGAAGGCTGCTTTAATGGGAAGCAATCGTGCCACTTAGTGAATCAGATTAGTGTGTATGTTGTATGGTATTGTGGTTGGACACCGTTCAGAAGAGCTTTAGTTGCGGCCTTTCTCGAGGAGGTGGTTTTCGACAGTCTGAAGAAGCAGTTTTATATGATTTTGTCACCGTTTTCATTGTGTTGGAAGTTAAAAGTGTTGTTTCTCTTGCAGATCTTCACAACCTACTGAGTATCCATCATTTCAACGTAACCCGTCAACAGATCGGTAAGTGTATATATGTCTTTGTCTAACTGTTGTTTGTGTTGAACCGTGTACACACGAGTGAGTGAGTGAGTGGCAGTCATCATTGGATTGAGTTTTGACATTTGAATACGAGTTAGCGTAGACGTGACTGACTATGAGTTGATCTTGTGATGTGAAGGTTTCACCTCTGACCGAATCTGTTAAGCAGGAATACATGAGAGTGTGATATTAACGTTGACAGTGTTTCTATTGTGAAAGCTACTAGATGAATTAAGAGATAGCCCTGTATATGTGTATTGTGTTTCATGCTTCAGGTCACGTGTTGGTGATGTTCCAGGGGTGTGGAAGAAGCCTGCATGGAGCGCGCATGTACCTTGTGAACGTGGTGACATAGAATCATCGTCATTACGACTGGAAAACGAGGCTACCTTGGAAGCTGCTCGCCAAAAGAAAAGCCAATGTATGAAGAAAGCTGTGTGAGTAGTATCCGTTTTGTCTTTCCAGATTGCACAAGATGTGTTTTGTGTTGCTGCTGCCTAACTGTCTAATTTTGTTTTGATTGTTTCAGGTGTGACGTGTCTCGTGAGCTTTCAAAGTAAGTTGAAATGGAATAAAGTGTAAGAGTAGTGATTGGCCTCATTGCTTCCTTTGATTGATAACGTTGGCGAATGAATTTCTTTACTTCAGACTAAGCATGCAAAGGCCACTGGGAATTCCAAACAGACCAGATAAAGGTGGCACAGTCGGGAGAACAGTGAGAGTTACTTCAAATTGTTGGGACCTTGCTTTCCATCAGAAGACGGTATACTTGTACTTTGTTGAGGCGATCTCAGTATACCGCCTGGACTCAAAGGAGGGCAGTAAGACGGAGATAAGAATGCCACCGAGAGAGTTGCGATCTCTGACACAACAAGTAGCTAGTTCGTAAGTGCAGTTATGCTTTCATCTTGAAATACGTTGTTTACATATGTGTTAAAACTTTGTGTTGTATTTGTGTTATTGAGGTCAGTTGTTTGCTTGACTTGTAGTGTAGTGTGTGATTGCTATCATTATAATGTGCTTGTCAAGGACAGATTGGTACAGGTTTGGGATGAGTTGTTGTTTCATGTCCTACGTGATTGACTGAATAAAGACTTTCGCAAATATCAGATGCGTCTATGAAAAGATGGTAGAGTCGTTCGGTATGGCTTGAGTTGACACTAATCGTGTCTGTTGATGAGTCTGATGCTAATGAAATTTGCTTGTATGGTTTGCTTTTACAGCTTTCCAGATACGGTGGTATATGATGGAGGGCACGCAATATACTCTGAAGACCCGTTAACGGGTGTTACAACGGACCCTGTGGAGAAGGAGATGGAGATCGAAGACCCGCTTGGTCGTGATCGCCTTCTCCTAAAGTATCGTATTATGGAAGTACAGCGAGTGTCTACTTCTGATGTTGATCATTTTATAAAGAATCCGAAGGCGACTTCGATGAATATGCCCCAGGTGAGACGAGATTAGATTTGTTGTTTGACACTTGGTTGTAGGAGTCCATCAGGCTACTGGATTGTATTCTGAAAACAGTCTCTAGACAGTCGTTCGTTTCTGTTGGACGTTCAGCCCTGTTCGAGGCGAAACCGATTAGAGTTGTCGCGGATAAACTCTTCAGCATCCATAAAGGTTTTATTAGTAGTGTGCGACCTCAGTGGAAGGTCCGTGTAAACTTGGATATGGTAAGTGATGATATTGCTTGTTTTGACACGCTATGACAGACGTGCAAGGCGTACTTCACGTCTGGGAATTTGGCGGACGTGATGTACGCAAAGTATGGCGATGGGATGTCTCGGTGCAGTGGAGAAATGGCCCGTGACTTGAGAAGAATCAGAGTGGAGAGTGAGAAGTTTTACAGGAGCGACAGTGGTATGCGTGTATATGTATATTTTACTCTGTTATACCTATACGTGACGCCTTCCAGGTAGGATGTATTCGCGACGGTTCACTGTGCACGGGATGTCGTCACTACCAGCTGATCGTCTAATGATTGAGGAGGTGAATGAGACGGTGGCAGAATATTTTAAGAGGCATCATCATATCACACTGAAGTATCCAGAGCTGCCTTGTGTGAAGGTAGGTGATTTGTGATTTCATTGATGATGATATTTTATTTTGTTAGGTTGATCAAAAGCGGGAGGTGTATATGCCTATGGAGTTGTTGAACATACTACCGTATCAAGCTCCTAATGCGAGTAAAGCGGATGTTGCTAGCGAAGTGATCCGGTGTTCGGCAGTTCGACCGCAGGAACGTTTCCAAGAGCTGCAAAACTTTGCTAACAATATGCTGAAGTAAGATGATGTTATTTCCGCGTTGTTGATGATGCACTACGACTGAGTACTGACGACGTGATGATGTTGCTTACTCATCATGCAAGAGGCGGAGAGAAGTTGAGGAGAAGGAGGAGGAGCATGTTGAATGAATGCTCGTTAGGTGATTTCCACTGTCAGCAGCTAACTTAGTTAGCTTTCTCAACACTGGAAACTGATTTCCATCTGCGCACAGAATAGAAGCATGATATTAGACGAGTTGTTTGGTTCGAGGTGTCTGATATCCGTTGTGTTAGCCGAAATTGTAAACGTGGAGAAACATGAGTTGAGTAGAATAGCCCTCCTTGAAATAAGATTTAGCCAGGGAGTTTTGTAGGTGCAGAAGCAGGCAGCCGAGGCTTTGTCATCCGTCTAAAATTGTTAGGAAGGGGGAACATTTCATCGGTTATTTGTGTCAATCTCTAGGTAGTGATTACTCGTCACAGAACATGTAATTCGCCACACGGAGACATGAGAATTAGAGTCGTGTTTGTTAACCGTGTGATGCTAGTGAAGAGGTGTTGATTGTGGACTAAGTATGCCTAGATGGAGATAATAGTGTATGTAGGTGATGTTATTTGAGAGCCCGGTATTATATTTCACTTTAATGTCTTTATTGTTTGTGACAATGAGGGTTTCTGTTGACTGGCATGACAACACTTGTTTCATTGTTTCTATCCAGGTCACACCCACTGATCCAACAATTTGGTTTGGCGATCGAGCCGAGGCCAGTGGAAGTGAAGGCACGTGTTCTGCAGCCGCCAAGTGCTAAATTTGGTCGTTCCGGTGTGCAACCGCTAAAGGCAGGTAGCTGGATGTCACCTGACTTTCATGAGCCAGCTGGCAAGGGAGTGGAGCTGATGTGGGCCATACTTTGTGTTCCACCTAATCAGGTATGTTGTTCACTCGAGTTGTGTACAAAAGACGGTGGTGATGACGACGACGACGATGTGTGAGTAGTGTAGTGTAAGGAGGAAGATGTGTGCTGCCATCACTTGAGCATTGAATTCACATTCTAGATGTAGTGATTTGTGAATCGTAGTTAGCTTGGCAATATGGAGGCGTGTTGTTTGATGACAGGTACGCCACTTCGTTGTTCACAGCACCGGGCATATCACTGCTTGATATCATGCGTGTAGATGTGTCAGTGTTTAATGGTGTGTATAGAATGCTGGGTTTCCACTTTCCTGTTAGTCAAATAGGTGAAGTATTTTCGAAAAACTGACTGTCCACTTGATTGTGATGCGTGTTGTTGAGAGGCAGATGTTGTTATTGTTGTTGTTATTATTAATATTATTATTGTTATTGTTGTTAGGCAAGTGAAACGCTTGTACTAAGTGCCTATTTCGCCTACCATGTTTTCTTTGTAGCGGTCTCAGAGTCACATACAAAAGGTGATGTCAGAAATGCCTAGAGCAGGAAGTCGCTATGGGGTTCGTCTAAGCCCTCGACCAATTGTGGCACAGTGTCCTACAGGAGAACTTGGCAGAAGGTTTGAAGATTTCAGTAGACAAGGCTGTTCGTTTGTGCTTCTAATCTTGTACGACGAGCGCAACTACTCGGCAGTTAAACGCCTGAGTGACCTGCAAATGGGTATCCGTACACAGTGTGTACTTGGTCGTACTCTGGAGAAGGCGAACGTTTGCCGTAAGTGCTTGCTACTACTGTTTACGTGTGACGTTTGTTTTCTGTTTCTGTATTTCGACAAGCTTAACTTTAACTAATGGGATTAATTTGTGCTTTGTTCAGCGAACCTGTTACTGAAGCTGAATGGGAAATTGGGTGGTGTGAACTGGCAGATCCCCGACCTGATTAAGAACAGTGGTGAGTTGCTGATGGTGTTTGGGGCGGACGTGACCCATCCGGCGCCGACACAAACTCATGGTGAAATTCGGAAGTCGGTGGCTGCTGTTATTGGTAGTGTATCACCGGATCTAATGAGGTACGCTGTGGTGATCCGCCAACAGGCGACGACAGAAAAGGGGAATAAGGGAGCGAGAGAAATAATCGACGACATGCGTGTTATTGTGAAGGAGTTGCTTGAGGTTAGTTTTCATTGTGGGCCAACTGTGAAGTGATTGATGTTGCTGGTTGGTGTTGTTGTTGTTGTTGGAGCACGCTTCTGTTGTTGCTTGTTTATGTTGTTGTTTTGCAGGTATACTTGCGAAATACGAACGGTCGTTTCCCAACGCGTATACTATTCTATCGTGATGGCGTCTCGGAAGGCCAGTTCGAGAATGTGTTGGTAGAGGAGTTGGCGGCGATTCAGAGAGCTTGTGCAGACATTCGTCCTGGTGAAGAACCCGCGATCACGTATATTGTTGTGCAGAAGCGTCACCACATTCGGTTTCGACCGAGCGAGCCTAGGTAAGTGGGAGGTGTTTACACACATTTTGTTTTGTGTGGAGCCACTGTATCTTTGTTGTTGTTGTTGTTGTTGTCCTTGCTCACGTGTGTGAGGGCGTTCGTGTTAAGAATAACGATTTGTTGTTTCGACTGTTTTTGTAGGGCGAGAAACGTGGAGCCAGGGACGGTGGTTGATACAGACATCACACATCCAAGGGAATTCGATTTCTACTTGTGCTCACAAGAAGGGATTCAGGTAAATTGGTGTTGTTAGCCGATGAATATGATTGCGTATTTTGTAGGGCACTTCGAAACCTGCTCACTATCACGTTTTATATGATGACAGTGACTGGACGTCGGACGGTTTGCAGTTGTTCACCTACCACCTATGCTATGCGTATATGAGGTGTTCGCGTAGTGTCTCATATCCAGCGCCAACTTATTATTCTCACTTGGCTGCATTTCGTGCCCGTGAATGGTTATCGGACGTGGAGAAGCCAGAGATTCTGTTGGACGGTGGTCGTTTTAAAGTTCACAGCAGCCAAGTTGACGGGATGTTTTACTTGTGAGGAGATATTTTATTTTTATATAAATTGCACTTTATTTTAATCCTTGTTGTTTGGCTTTTCGATTTAATTGAGCGTAGTTTGTTGAAGAGATAGTTAATTGTTAGGGTGCGATCACGGTCACGGAGTAGCATATAGGTGACGGTAATGGTGTGATGATACTGGTGAAGACGCGTGCACACCTGACAATTCGATTATTGATTCTAGGATATTGTCTGTATGGGACGTGTGACCATGTGACTGTTCGGATTGTAGTTTTGACTTCTACGTGCGTGATTTGTCTGCTAGTGATGTGATGATGTGGTGTGAGCACGTGGGATTCGAGCGGGTATGTGTGTGTGTGTTGACGACAGATGTGTGATGGAAAGTTGTATTGGATTTAAGAGATTTCTGTTGAGCTTGCAAATGTCTAGACGTGAGACGGTAGGAATGTGGTTGTAGATAGTTTGAGCGGCGAGTGTAGTCAGCTTGTAAGTACGTTTCGAATTCTTTCTATGGATGAAATTGTGTTTTCGCCAATTGATGATCGGAGGGTCAATTGACCAGAGTTAGTCTGGAGAATCCACTTGACACTGTGTTTGTGTGGGTGTGTGAGTGAGTGAGTAATTAATAGATGTGACTGTGATGTCTCACGGTTCAGTGACACCACTTGAATGAACAACTAGTTATCAGAGAAATAACTCAAATGTATGGAGAATTGCAAGTCGAATGACATGGATGGTGGTGATAGTAATAATAATGATCATAATAATAGTAATAGTAATAACGGGAATGAAAATAATAGCTATAATAGCAATAGTAATATCGATGAATCACACTAATGCGTACAGATGCTAATGACAACAAGGGTGTATGTAACCGTCCTGACAAGGGATGGTTTCAAATCAATGAAGAATAATGATGATGGTGTGATGATGATAACAAGAGGAAGAAGAAGTAGGAGGGAAGATAGAATGTGAATATTTGTGTCACTAATAATATGAACGGTCAGTATGTAAGACATGCCACCATGTTGGATTCAGAGTGACGACCATTTCGTTGTGTACATGAGGACTAGTGATATAGACGCTAATTGCACACGCCTCCACAGTTGAAAAGCTTCTGTCTGGTTGGTTGTCTGTTGACACGAGATCAGTTGGTCTGTGAATGTGTGATCCAAGAGACGGTCAGAATCTCTGACTCGAGGCGTTATCATTCTATGGAATTACTATCGCGTAGGTAGCCGATTATGCCTCACTAGAAGCCAGGAAGTGAGTATCTATCAAGGTGGTCGTCTGCTTGAATATATATTTTTGCTTGTCTTCACTTCATAATGCTGTCCTTGAGTCACTCTCTCTGTCACTTGTGCATTGTGTGTGATTTTCTTCCGCGTGGCATATCTCGTGGTGACGATGTTGTGCTGAATTCGCGTTTCAATAAAGTAATAGAATGCATAGGAACGATATCAAAATTGATTGACCAACACAAAATTACTAAATATTATAATTAAGGGAGAGATGGAGAGAAAGAGAATTGGTTTTAGGAGGTTTCCAGTAGGCGGGTTTGTGACAAAAGTCCACAGGACTATGATAAGTTGGAGTTAACATGAGAAGGGTATCTGTTGACTTTTGACTGCACCAAAGAGCATGTTGTCCGATAGACGGGAACCAACTCAGCTGCAGGATAGGCTCTAGCTAGTGACGTACTCAGCCCTCTGTTGACTATTGCCGCAACATATTCACCTTTAAAATCTTGTTGAATGAAGACAGGCATGTTTTCCACTGTGATTTGTTTGATGTTTGAGCCTTCACATCTGCCATATTTGTTAATGAGTCCTAGAAGGTAACCGTTGCTTTTCAATACCTTTTCGAGAATCGTAAGTTCTTCCTCTGATTCCTCTGCAGAGCACATTCTCCTCGCTGTATAGTACAGAGTCTTGACCAGTGCTCGTTTATGGCTATTTGGACAAACACTATTAAAATATAAGTATTGTCCATTCCATGCTGGATTTCGGTGAATTGACCTCTGGAGACTACCATCTTCTAGGTGTTGTATGACAATGTCAAGGAGACGTAACTTTCCGTCATTTTGATGTTCCATTGTAAATTCAATGCTTAGAAAAGACAACAGATTGGGCGAAGAAATATATTCCTTTTCAATTAGTTCCTCATCGTAGGCTGGCTCTACACTAATATATAGTCGTTTTTTACATCAAATTCTTTTACCAGTCAAGTGGTTATTTTAGTGAATCATTTTTGGGTATAGACGGGGGGTGAAATCGACAGGTTGAGTGTCATCAAAACAAATAACTAGTAGGTGTTAGCAAGAAGATATCTAAGTTACAAAAGAGGGGTGAAAATTAATTACGGAATTCAAGAGAGGTTGATTGTTAGGCGTTGGCAACAAGTTATTACATGATCAAGAAATTCGCAAGATAGCAATGATGACTAAGAAGAATAGGATAACCCAGAAGAGTTACGCAAAATACAAACAAACAAGTTAATAGAATTAGCTAGAATTGTAAAAATTAACAAAGTCGAGAGATAGTTACAAGGGGAGGGGGAAAATCCTTTTATAAACTTATTACATATTATGTAGTTGGCCATGGCAAAGAAAGGGGCTGTACAGATTTCCTTTGAACACAGATTTGGCTTGTTCAGATGAATTCCAATTGCCTCTGCTGTATGTAAAAGTCGTACTCGTAGACCATGTGGCGAGAGGTTGGGTGATATACGATAAATAACTTTAGATATAATAGAGAATATTTGTAGCTCAGGTGGATGATTTTGGTGTGGTTGTGTTCTCTGAGCTGGATGGTTTGGTTGCGAAGCTTTCATTGCTCTACTGAGCAACATCTTCAACGCATACTTCGATGTGAAGTGAGCTTTTAGAATTCTCTATGAGTTTATTAGTCATCTCTTCTAGTAACCCTGAACGTGATTGGTTGTTTTTGTGTGACTTCTCACTTTCTAGTTCACTTGTTTTGGTGTTGACTGTTTCCTTGACCTGAAGTTTGACTTTGTTTTTGTGTGAATTTCTTCGTATGGATTGGTATATTTTGTCAATCGCTATGTGTCTATTGATTGCTGATTCATTTGAATACCAGGCCTCTAGGAATTCTCTGGCATTTTTGCAGTTCCCTTTGTCTAAGATTTGAACATTGTCCCAGTCGAATTGGTGCCCGTGGTTGTCTGCATGTAGTGATATGAGGGAGTGTATGTCGTGTCTTTTGACAGCTAGTTTGTGTTCGCGAATGCGAAGACGAAGAGGGCGTCCACTTTGACCAATGTAATGTTCGTCGCAGTCATTGCAACTTATCTTGTAGATGACGTTAGTTTTGTCTTCTTTTGCCGTTGAGTCCTTTGGTTTACATAGAACTGAGTGTAGTGACTTTGTTGGTTTATGAGCGACATTGATTCCAAAAGGTTTGAATAGTCTTGCAGTGATTTCGGAGATATCTTTTATATATGGTAGGACGACTTTCTTTGTGTTTTCGCTGGTGGCCTTTGATTTGGTTGGTTGAGCTGGGGGTAGATGTCTTTTGATGAAGTTTCGTGGGTATCCATTTCTTTGGAAGACGTCCATAAGATGATTTTCTTCAATTTTCCTCAAGGCGGGAGTGCTGCAATGAGTCCTGGCTCTCTTGAACAATGTACGTATGCAGCTAATTTTGTGTGATGTTGGGTTGTTACTGTTGTAATTGAGCATTTGATCCGTGTGCGTTGGTTTTCTGTATACTTGGGTTTCTAATTTTCCTGTGGTTGTTCGTTTGATTAAGACGTCTAAAAATGGGATTTTGTTTTCATATTCTTCTTCTCTTGTGAACTTGATGTCGTTGAAGGTGTTGTTTATTACGTTGTGGGTATTGTCTAAGTTTTCTCTTTTGATTATCACGAATGTATCATCTATGTAGCGTATCCAAATTTTCGGTTTGATCTTTGGCAGAATTATGTTTTCCAGTCTTTGCATGACGGCTTCCGCAATCAATCCTGATATGGGTGATCCCATAGGTGTCCCTTGAATTTGTTCATACTTTTGGCCGTTGAATTGGAAATAAGTTGTGAGACAAGTTTATGCATTCCATCCAACTTGAATGCTGCATTTTTGATTGTTGTATATGTTCGTCGTTGTTGAGTAGTTGTTCCATGGTTTCTTTTGCTAGTTTTAGTCCAATCGAAGTATATAATGCCGTGACGTCGAAGGATACCATTATTTCTTGGCTGTCTATTTCAATGCCTTTGATTTTCTCTAAAAATTGGGTCGCAGATTGGATGGAGTGATCACATGATTTCGTCAAGTGTTTCAGTCTTCTGTATAGTTCTTTGGATAAATTGTATGTTGGGGTTCCTGGGAGTGGTACGATTGGTCGTAGAGGTATATTTGGCTTGTGTATTTTTGGTCTGCCGTAGAATCGAGGTATGACGGGTCCATTGGATTTCATTCGCCATTGATCTTCTTTTGTGATCTGACCCGTTTTGGTGAGTTTGCTTAGGGTTCTTTGGATGCGGTTGTTTAGTGTTTCGATGGGGTTTGTTGTTAGTTGCTGGTATATTGTTTGATCTTTGAGTAGTTCTTCCGCTTTTGCAGTGTATTCTTCTTTGTCCATGATTACTGTAGTCCTTCCTTTGTCAGCTGGTACTATAACGATATCTTCCCTGTTTTTCAGTCTTTTGAGGGCTTTTTGTTCTTGTGAGTTGAGTTGTGTGTGTCGTTTTCTTTGTTTAACTATGGGCACTATTGTTTGACGTATCTCTTCTTGTGTTTCTTCACTTAATTTTGATGATTTGAGTGTTGATTCAAGAGCAGCGAAGAAGTCTGTTTTCGAGGCGTCTTCAGTGTTGTAGTTTAATCCTTTTTGAAGTAGTTGTTGTTCCATTTTTGACAGCGGCTGTTTTGATAA